TCCCGTAACCCTGGGTGGGACCCAGACAGGCACTCTCCCTCCTGGTCTGAAGGATCCTGGAGCTCTTGGACGAGGGCAGGAACGCTTATATCCCGGGATAGGCCATCCACAGCCTAATGCTAAGAACGCCTAACGATTACCCATCTGTCTAAATATGAGCATCAATAATTAAATTATAATTAATTCAATACAACTTAAAAGGTACTACATAAATATAATGTACGGTACTATATTTACTGTATATTGAATCGCCGAATAATAATAATTATTATAAAGTGTGATTTAGTTGATAAAGTACTATGTTGGTATATGTTTTATAAATAGCTAGGCCTATATTGAAAGTGTAACATTTGAAGAAAAAATGATATAAGGGCTATGAGAAATATTTATGCTATTTTCAGGTTGTATTTATTTAAGTATTAACAAAATAAATGACACTAAAACTAATTAACAATTCTTATTAGGTTGTCTTAATTTAATTAATATTTAATTATGATACATAATTAATTAAATACAACCTAATTAACTGATTTATTAGGTTGTATTATTATATGAACTATTATAATACTTACTACAACAACAAAATGATTTATTGTGTTGTATTTATTAAAGTATCATAGAGTACATTTACTTAAATAAATACAGACTGATAATTATTAATATTATATTGTATTTACTTAAATTAATACAACTTAAACAGGTTGTATTTTTTCAAGAAAATGTACTATGATCAGACCATAAATAAATACAACAAAGAGAAAGGATGATACTCTATGGTCAATTAGTAAAATAAATACAACTTAATAAATTAAGGTTAATGTAATAAAGAAATAACTGATATAGGTTGTATTAACTGATACTTTCCTAATTATACTATGAACACCATTAATTACCATATCAGAGTACATTCACTTAAATAAATACAGACTGATAATTATTAATATTATATTGTATTTACTTAAATTAATACAACTTAAACAGGTTGTATTTTTTCAAGAAAATGTACTATGATCAGACCATAAATAAATACAACAAAGAGAAAGGATGATACTCTATGGTCAATTAGTAAAATAAATACAACTTAATAAATTAAGGTTAATGTAATAAAGAAATAACTGATATAGGTTGTATTAACTGATACTTTCCTAATTATACTATGAACACCATTAATTACCATATCAGAGTACATTTACTTAAATAAATACAGACTGATAATTATTAATATTATATTGTATTTACTTAAATTAATACAACTTAAACAGGTTGTATTTTTTCAAGAAAATGTACTATGATCAGACCATAAATAAATACAACAAAGAGGAAGGATGATACTCTATGGTCAATTAGTAAAATAAATACAACTTAATAAATTAAGGTTAATGTAATAAAGAAATAACTGATATAGGTTGTATTAACTGATACCTTCCTAATTATACTATGAACACCATTAATTACCATATCAGAAGATTAACTGGGTGAGTGATAGCTCACGTCCATAACTGGGTGTGTGATAGCTCCTGTCCATGTCTTCTAACAAACACCCCATATTATGAAATGGATTATTCTTTTTCTAATGGTATTTCTTTCTACTGCCAATATTTCCAACTGGCATTATTTCCTACACCCAATAACAGCCTGCTATTTACCAATAAAAATAAAAGTGGAAGGGTCATAATTGCGTATTATGATAGGCCTAATTATTGATTTCGCAATTCAGTACAATGACGCTGCGAGCTATTAGGCTAGGCAATCTAGCTCCAAATTGCAAACAAAGGTTCTTCTTGTTTAATCAAGTACATATGATGAGGGGATGAAATTCCACAAATCACACCTTAATCACACCTCGGAAACATATGCAAATTAGCTAAAATATGCAAATTAGTTTGAAAATATAGGGGTCGTATATCTTGGCAATTTCATAAAATATAGGGGTCGCATATCTCTATTGGTAATGTACCAGAAACTTAATTTAGGTCTCAAATTACTCAAATGCGTGTTTCTTTGCATTATATCAATAGAAGGGATGAAAATCCATTTCATACTGTAATCTTAGATGTAATTTAGATGTAATTTCTCGCAATATATTTGTAAATTTCTCTTGTCCATTTTATACTGTAATGTTATTTATCAATTTATCTTTCACTTGTTTGTATTATTCTATATATTTATATGTATTGTAAGACATCCTGTAATTGACTTCCGCTGTTGGATGATTTTCGAAATAAAAAAAAAAATCTATAATCACACCACGGTTACATATACACTTCATATTCAAATTAGCTTTTATTTATGCAAATTAGGAACGAGAATATAGGGTCCCATATCTCGGCAACCGCTGGTCGCAGGAAGTTGCTTTCTTTTTAAGATAATTTGGAACATTTATGTTCGCTCTAATAGAAAATTTTCCCTAAAAATGACCAGAAATTCTACAACTCACCTTTGACCTTATATTCACTGAATTTGCATATTTTTGTGAATAATTCCAGTAGAAACGTGATTTATGTCTCAAATAATTAAAATGCAGTGTCTTTCTTTTTAAAATTTTTCAAAACATGCATGTTAATATTTGCTCTAATGGAACATTTGCCCCACGTATAACCAATATGCTAAAATTGACCCTATAGATATTCACAGAATTTGCATACTGTATATCTCTGACACTAATGTCTGAAGAAACCTAATATATTGTTCAATTCATGTTTCTTTTTATTTTATTAAAGGGTATCTTAAACAATATATTTGTCACATGTCCCTTTCCTGTATTTAAAATTTACGTCCTCGGCCTAATTATGCCAATTATGGATAAAAAATATAGGGTTTTCATATCTTGAAAACTGCTGGTGTCAAGTAGTTGCTTTCTTTTTTCACACTTAGAAGTTGCAGTTTCTATTTGCTTCAGTACTGTAATATGTATGCACCGGTATACTTCAGGTTTTGATTCACCGTACAGTATATGTGATGACATTCTGGAAATCACACCCTGGCCACTTGCATTCTCTATATGCAGTTTACCTAAATATTCAATTCAATTCAATTCAAATTGTTAGGTTCATCATCAATTACTATATCATCACATAAAAATGTTATATGACCAGGATAATGACCAATAATATAAAATCAAAGCTCAATTGTAGCATGTTTTTTTTTTTTTTGCGGCAAATGTTCGATAAAGCAAATTTAAATATTTATATTTCACACCAACAATTTCAAAAATAATTGTATAAAACAATTGTTGAAAATGTTCCATTATAGCAAATAGAAACATGCATATTCCGCACAATCTAAAATAGAAAGCAACTCTCTGTGACTAGCCATTGCCAAGATATGGGAACCCTTTACTTTCTTTTCTAATTTGCATATTTTAGAGCTAATTTGCATATGAACAGTATATTTGACCATGGTGTGATTATAGATTTCCATCCCTTTGATTAATATATTGGAAAGAATCATGTATTTGAATAATTTAAGACCTAAATTAAGAATCTATATACATTAGTTGCCGAGATATGCAAATTCAGTGAATATAAGGTCAGAGGTCAATTGTAGTATTTCCGTCCATTTTTTAGGCAAATGTTCCATTAGAGCAAATAGAAACATGCATGTTCTGATTGATTGGAAACAGAAAGCAACTCTCTGCGACCAGCGGTTTCCAAGATATCGGATTCCCATATTTTCATTATTAATTTGCATAATTTAGGGCGAATTTGCATATGAAGAGTATACGTGACCATGGTGTGATTATTGGGTTCCATCCCTTTTATTAATATAATACAAAGAAACATGCATTTGAATGATTTCAGACCTAAAGTACCTAAGTTTCTATGTACGTTAGCCACAGAGATAGGCAAATTCAGTGAATACAAGGTCAGAGGTCAATTGCAGCATTTCTGTTCATTTCTGAGGCATTAAAGCAAATAGAAACATGCATGTACTGAATAATTTGAAAAAGAAATCAACTCCCTGCGATCAGTGGTTGCCAAGATATGAGATCCCTATATTTTCAATTTAATTTGCATATTTTAGCTAATTTGCATATGTTCCCGAGGTGTGACCAAGGTGTGATTTGTGGAATTTCATCCGCTCATCATATGTATTTGATTAAAAAAGAAAAACCTTTGTTTGCAATTTGTTTGACTTTAAATGCTAGATTGCCTAGCCTATATGGTTTATTCTCTAATAACTGTGTATCCAAAGTTAACTAAAGGGGGCAATAGACCCGTAACCATAATTTCTATACGAGCCGGAAATGTATGGATAGACAGACGTCTTGGTAGAGTCGAAGAGAAAAACTCTTGTGAGGCGGTGGCGGGGGAGCCAAGCGAATCATAGAACCCCAACACCCCTAGTTCACTTTATTTCAAAATCACATAAAATATAACATATGGTGACCAAAGGCCAAATTACATGTTATTTACAAAAGAGATAATTACAATAATTATTATAATTTTTATCATAGGAATGATTCGTGTTTGGAAGACTTTTTGCAAACTTAAGACAGTGAGATGTTCTATCAGAGAGTGAATCAATGTTAAGATTAGTGAGAGCGTCTTCATACGAATTATAATTACGCTCTAGAATAATCTTACATGCTCTTTTCTGGATAAATTCTATAGGATATGTTTGGGGTTTAGTTAATCCTGGATGCCAAACTACATCAGCGTATTCAACAATGGGTCTTATATAGCAGCAAAAAGTAGAGATTAATTCTTTAACATTAAATACAATGTTTTTTAAACATCTAAGGAAATACAATTTCTGATTTGCTTTATTAGTAATATAGTTAACATAACTGTCCCATTTCAAATTTTGTTGGATTGTAATTCCTAAGACCTTAGCTTCCTCAACAAAATTTAAAATAGAACCGCCAAGAAACAAATTCAGATTGGGGGCTTTTAACTAAAAAAAAATTGGAGAGCTTGACATTTAACGAGGTTAAGATGAAGAGAATTGTTTTCGCACCATATGTAAAACTGATTAAGATCATCTTGGAGATGACTAACCTGATCAATATGCCGGTTCTCATATATGGAGAGGTCATCGACATATTTTAAAGCAAGAGATTTAGAGTTCATAACCGCATCATTGATCATGATTTGAAAGCCGACACCAGAAAATGTTGTTCCCTGTGGAATACCAGCATTAAGGGTTATGTTCCTAGATAGTTTATTTTTAAACCTAACACATTGCTCTCTGCCACAGAGGAAATCACAAATCCAGGGAACGATCGACTCACAGACACCACAAGAGATAACTTTTTGAACAAGGATGTTATGTTTAATTAAATCATTGACAAAAGCTTTTGTAAAGTCCGTGAGTACGACCGTTCCCACGTTGCGACTCCGCTTAGCGGCAGAGCACAAATCGTGGACAAGACGGACAAGGTAATGTGATGTTGAGGCACCTTTTACATTACCATATTGCCGGGCATCTAAAGATGGTTGAATGTCAGAAGTAACACATGAACAAACAAAATCTTCAGCGACTTTGGCAAAAACGGAAGTGAGGGAAATTGGCCTCATTTTGTCTATTCGGGGGGATACACCTTAGGAACGGGAACCACTACTGCACGTTTCCATTGTATTGGTAATTTATACTCTTGGAAAGAACAATTTAATACATTTGCTAAAGATTCACTGAGTTCAACTGCAAACTCCTTTAAGATACGTGGGGGTATTCCGTTTGGTCCCCCCAGCAGATTTATTAGGATTTAGATTTTTAAGTTTAAAGTAAACTTCCCGAGGCTCTACTCGAGGACATAAGTAAGGTGATGGTAAAAGACATGGAAGAGTAGAAGTTTCAAGTGGTGGTATTTCTTTACCAAAACTAGTAAATTGGGCATTGATTGCGTTGGCAATTGCAACATTGTCTTGGTGTGAGATATCAGAGACCTTTTGATGTATTGATGCCATTTACGTGGGTTTTCTTGGTAAAGGTGTTTTATTCTACTGTTATAGTAATGTTTTTTAGTATCAGTAATAGAGCGCTTAACGTTGTTACGAAGCTTCCCATAAAGTGAAAAATTACCAGATGCATAAGCATTCTGTCTGTCAGGTATAAGTTTTCTAATATGATTTGTAAGCCAGGGTTTATCACAAACCTTAATATTCTTGGTGGGAAGGTATTTACTTAAACCAGAGTTCAAAATCTTATAAAGTTCATCCATTTTTTGCTGAGTGGTGGAACAATTGCTAATAATTTCCCACTTCTGCCTATTTAGCCATTGCATAAAATCATGAAGGCGAGTTGCATAAAATCGACGGATGGTGATCCGAGTAATTGTGTTAGTAATTTTTCTTGACTTGGGCTTCCATATAACACATTTGTGGTCACTTTTACCGATTGGTGCTAGTGGATAAGGTATCATATAATAACTGTCAATGTTTGTAATTATCAGATCAAGGATAGCATTTCCTCTGGTGTTAAACTTCCCTAATTGCTTTAATCCTTTCATGATTCATGCGATTAAAATCGACAAAAATACAAAAGGCTGTTTGAACAGATCTTGCAGTGATACTTTCGATAGTATTATTCATATGACTTTCTAGCGTCAATTTGTGAGGTGAATTGGTGACAATATAAACACCACATATGATAATTTGAGAAATTCTCCGAGGTAACCTAGTCGGTCTGGCTTTCAACCAAACAACTTCAAGTTGTGAGGCGGTGGCGGGGGAGCCAGGCGAATCATAGAACCCTCAAACCGCTAGTTAAATTCTAACCAAAGACTCTCCGATTACCGTTCGGATACTAATGAGTAATGGTCCGCACGTTTGATTTTTCCATAAGGACACTTTTTTTCACTGTATTGTGTAATAAAGTGGTTTCCAACTTTTTGCGTTCGTGGACCATTCTGAACCTGCAAAAATCTTTACGGAACCCTATGTCCAAATATTACTCATTGTCCGTACCAACAATACGATTAGGCCAACAGATAGAAGATAATTCGCCACAAAATTACAACATTAAACAGTGGTGAATCATGGAATTAGAAGCCAACTCAGCCCCACCATGGTTGGGGCTGAGGTACAATTTTTTTTTTTATGTGTATGCCACTTCTAGATGGCTGGAAATGGCCTGTCAAACTCGCATTTAGAAGGTAATCTTTTTTTTTATCCCCATCCTCCATTTATTTTTTAATGTGTAAAATTTAGGGCCACTCATGGTTGATATTCTGCCACTAGATAAGATAAGATAATTTGCCAAATTACGACATCTTGGATCTTGGAATTTGACATAGACAGAAGGGGTACAGAGAGTAAATTTTACAGATAAAAGATTTACGCTATTTCAACCCCATACACTACCTCAGCCCCACCCTGGTTGGGGCTGAGGTAGGATTTTTTTTGTTTATGGCACGTAAAAATGGCCGAAAATTGCACTGTCAGACTCGCATTTAGAAGGTAATCTTTTTTTTTTTATCCCCATCCTCCATTTATTTTTTAATGTGTAAAATTTAGGGCCACTCATGGTTGATATTCTGCCACTAGATAAGATAAGATAATTTGCCAAATTACGACATCTTGGATCTTGGAATTTGACATAGCAGAAGGGGTACAGAGAGTAAATTTTACAGATAAAAGATTTACGCTATTTCAACCCCATACGATACCTCAGCCCCACCCTGGTTGGGGCTGAGGTAGGATTTTTTTTGTTTATGGCACGTAAAAATGGCCGAAAATTGCACTGTCAGACTCGCATTTAGAAGGTAATCTTTTTTTTTATCCCCATCCTCCATTTATTTTTTAATGTGTAAAATTTAGGGCCACTCATGGTTGATATTCTGCCACTAAGGTTAGGGATAGAAAATAATTCGCCAAATTACGACATCTTGGATCTTGGAATTTGACATAGACAGGAGGGGTACAGAGAGTAAATTTTACAGATAAAAGATTTACGCTATTTCAACCCCATACGCTACCTCAGCCCCACCCTGGTTGGGGCTGAGGTAGGATTTTTTTTTGTTTATGGCACGTAAAAATGGCCGAAAATGGCACTGTCAGACTCAAAATTTGAATGTAATATTCTGTTATCTCCCATTTACTTATAATTTGCCAAATTTAGGACTCCTTCCTGATTTTTAAAAAATTTTATTTAATATCTAATTAAAAGCAATATAAAAGAATTCATGGAAACAGGATGTACATTACCTGAAGATTGCCAACGTGGCTCTCTATACTAAACATCTTTACATAGAGAATACATAAAAAAAATAATTAAAAAAAATTCTATCAGATCACAAATAAGCTATTGGAATTAAAATATAATGCCAATTAATACACTTTACAGTGCACGAAGTCATGCCTGTCAAAAATATTTCATTATTGTCAAGGCATGATCACATCATTGTAAGAAAAGTAAGTAAAAAATAATGGAAGCATTTAAAAAAAAAATATGTAAAAACGCATGTACCCATCGGGATTCAAACTCAAGGACATGTTTTAATTTTTTTTTCTCAGTGTATTAATAAGACATATGTGATGATGCTCTCATAAAAAAAAAATCTGCATTGATATAATCATCATAAACAAATTAAATAAAAACCAAGGTTGTCTGTTTCATCATTCAAATAATTAAACACCTGTGAAAAAATACATAACAACAAAGACTTACCAGACAGTGAAATTAATTAATTAAAACTCCAACTTATAGACTCTGTATATATTAGGTTGGTTATAATAGTTTTGGAATTTCGTTTCCAGATTAATACCAGAATTTAAGTGCCAACATAATCATTGCTTAATATATTTTTTCTAATATAAATTGACCTGTTTAAAATACAACAAAATCATGTTTGAATAATGTTAAAAATAATTAAAATTGGCCAGCAGTGTACAGTGACAACTGCGTAATTAAATCTCCTGCAGTTGAAATTAATCAGAATACATTGGTTATTTTTTAATTTGAAAAAAAAAAATTTATATAAAAGAAAGATACCGAACAATCCTTCTCATTTATATCTTAACTTTCCTGATAATAAAGTAGAACTACAATAAACTACTGTACTGCAATTTTGGTGGATATCCTCGGAATTCACAATGTTTCTTCGTTTTGTGTTAACCTTAATGTTTGTAGGCCTAATGGTCGTTCAACTATCCGGTATGTAGTCTATTTATATATATTTGCTATTGTAACTTCGCTTGTCTTAAGGTTATTTGAAATATTGATTAATTAGCCCCTAGAGCCTGTATATTGTGTAATATTCCTTTAACATATTGTTACTGGTTAAAACTATAAAATATTGTTAGTTATAGTATGTACCGGGAATATTGATTAGTTAGGCCTAATGTTTTAAAATTTAGTTTCCGAAGTTTAGATTCGGAACTGCCAATACCATGTTGTGTATATTATGATGTGAATACGATACTGACATAGGTGTGTATGTGAAGCTAAAACTAATAACAGACCACTGAGAGGGTCAAAACCCAAAAAAATTACCAATTAGCTAAACGGTGTGTAGCATTTATTATGTAGCAAAAGTAATGACAAATACCACTCTTAAAACATGGTAACAACATGTAAAGCTGGAATGCCCCATTTAAGTATGATTACATTTGGAGTTCATTAAATATTGTAAACAGTACAAAAATTTATGTCGCAAATCACCAAATTTAAAAATATTGATATATATAGTTTAAAAATAAAGACGCGTGTCACTTTAAAATCAGTTAATATAACAAATTTAGTGTATTGCCTACAAGGAAAAAAATAATCAACATGATCACCTTCCTTTAAGAATATATTTCTATAAAGTCTATCGTGTCGCAATAATTGATGAAACATCCGTTACCGGGCCATGAAGTTGGACATTTCATTATGCATACTCAATTAAAAATGAATTATTCATCATTATTATAGATCAAATCACTAAGTTTTACTTCCTAGGTCATTATAAATCACCAGCGTAAAGAAAAAATTTAAAAAAAATGATGTTTTGTGGCCCGTATAGTTAAGAAATGAAACCTACGTTACCACCGTATACAAAAGTAGAACGCTTGATGCATATTAGCTGTATTTCAGGTAATAAATTATAGGTGGCTTCGGTGATTGCAAAATATTTTTAACACATGATGAAATCAAAATAAAACATAAGTTACCGAAACATACGTTAATGCATTTGCTCAATCCTGCGTAAAATTAACTAAAATCACGAGTAAGCGTCTGGGTGCTTTGTAAACTGCCAATTGACGTTGAGGGGGCGTGGTTGACAACGAGACGCTCTTTTTATGGCGGCGAAGTAGACGTAGCGACCTGTTGATATTTCTGAAGAAACCTGACTGAAATTTATGTAAAGGTAAAACTTATTTCATTTCTTCATATTAACTTGATATTTTTATACCATAGTATCTGAAAACATTGCATTAAAAGCTTGAGCAACTATATTTTATTTACCTGAAATAGAGTTTTCAATAAATAATAGTTTCCTTGTGGGTCTGCTGTTTAATAAACATGTGATTAGATCGTAACTTATGTTTCATAATATTGTAACATGTTACAAATTTTACATCCCTATGTTCTTTGG